CTTCCTTCCTTCCTTCCTTCCTTCCTTCCTTCCTTTCTTCCTTCCTTCCTTCCTTCCTTCCGTAACAGCACTCTTGTACCCCAAGGTCAACTCTAAATTCCTTGACACTTTCTGAGGGTCAGGAATTAAGAAGCAACTTCACTATTTGTGTAGGGATCCAGGCTCTGTATCTCAAATTAGGAGGTAGGGAGACCTCTCTTTCTGAGGGAACTGCTGATGGTTGGAAGGATAAATTGCCTTCCAAAGGTGGGAGAGGTCTCCCCCCCCACCTTGCCCCTCCAGATGTATTGGGGTGCAACTCCCGGAACTTCAAGGTCATGCTCACAAGGAATTCTGGGAGTTATTGCCTTAAGACAAGATTGGGGAACATTGACGTTGACATCATAGTTGAGGACTTTGCGTCCACTTGGCATATTCCTGATACAAATCTTCTCCACCCCAAATTAAGCTTGGGGGAAACTACTTCTTCCACCCCACGAAGATGCTGTGCTTGACTTGAGCTGTTCGTCTGGCACTTGCCCCAACAGGGATGGGCAGGCCTGGGTTCCTTCGTGGAGAAAAGGCTCTCCTTGCTTCCCTTCCAACCTGGGAAATCCGGCGAGGTGCTGAACGGATGGCTGAGTCTGTAACCATAGGGAGCGTTTGGTACACGAGTGAGATCTAGAGGTTAAGGCGGGCTCTGGCCCAGGAGCTCACCAAGACTTTTCACAGCGGGCCACTTTTTAATCCTTGAACAGTGACACTTGGAGAGAAATAAAGATTCTTCCTAATTAAGGGGCTTCTTCCTGCATAAAGATCGGCATTTAGTGCTGCGCAGCGACCGGGGCTCCCTGGGACCCATCTCTCGGCAAAGGTGGCTGGTGGAGGCACCGAGGGAGGTTGTCTGAGAGGGGGCCAGAGCCATGAGACCCCCTCTCTCTCGCTTTGGCAGGCTCCAACCCGCTTCTCCGGAGCAACAAACCACGGCACTTCTTCCTGGGCCACAGTTACGGCACCAACTGGGTGGAGTACGATACCACCGGCTGGCTGAGCTACGTCCGGCAAAACCCCGCCTCTCAGAATGCCTCGGTTCTCCTGCAAGAGTCCCAGAAGTAAGGCAGATGGCCTTCTCAGGCCTAGGTGGGTGGGGCTGGGAACCCCCCTAAAACTGTAGGGGGGGTGGCTGTTGGGCCTCAGGGCAGTGTCTGGTTTTCCTCCCAGTGAACCTACTCTCCCCCTGCTGACCGGCGTCTGCTCCGTGCAGGCAAGAGGCCCTTTCTCCAAAACCCCCCGGCCTTCGTGTCATGCTCTTCTCTGGGCATCCTTGGTGAGAAAGGCACTGACCCTCTCTTTCTCTCCTTTCCCCTTCCCGTCTCAGGAAGATGATCAGCAGCCTCTTCGCAGGCCGAGCCGGGGCCACCACAGTGCTGTCCGGGTCCATCGCTGGCCTGGAGGGAGGCTCCCAGTTGGCCCTGCGCAGGGCCACCAGCATGCGCAAGACCTTCACCACTGGGGTCGCCGCTGTGAAGAAGAAGTCTATGTGCATCCAGATCAAGCTGCAAGTGGTGAGCCTCTGGCTGGTTCAGGGCCAAGAGGAAGGCGGCATCATGCGTGTTCAGAGGAATGGCTCCTTTTGATGGCCCAGGGCTGCGTCGGCCTCCAGAAGACACTTTGCAGTTGTCTTCATCAGCAGTGATGTCAAAGGGGCCAGTCCCCTTCTTGCTTTACTGGGTAGTGGATGCTGCTGGTTGGGTTTTAAAATCCTGCCCAGATCTGACTAGAGGTAGTCCTTGCTTAACAACCACAACAGGGACCGGAAAATTGGTTGTTAAGCAGGGTGGTTAAGCAAATTGGATCCGATTTTACAACCTTTTTTGTGAATCACCATGGTCGTTAAGCAAATTACGCGGTTCCCCATTGATTTTGCTTGCCAGAAGCTAGCTGGAAGGTCGCAAATGGTGATCATGTGACCCTGGGACATTGCAATTGTTGTAAGTGTGAGCTGATTTCTAAGTGCCTGAATTGTGATCATATGATCGCAGGGGTGCTGGGATGGTTGTAACTTTGGGCACCAGTCATAAATTGTAAGTTTTTTTAGCACCGTTGTAATTTTGAACAGTCACTAAACAAATGGCTGTTAAGCGAGTATTACCTGTATGGATAGTGAAGGGAAGAGCTCATTGTGAGCAACCTCACTGGCCATCTCTCCTTAGGATCCTACTGGTTTCTGCCCATTTGGGGGCAGGAGATGGCCTGTTTGTTGGTGATGGGGGCGCTCTTGGATAGGCTGCCGATCAGTGGTTCTGTGGGCCCCAGCAGCATCCCCCACTGAGCCACAAGCCGATCAAGGCCTCCTGCCACCCTGCCCTCTCTTGACCGTGGTCTTCTCCCGCCACTCAGGATGCCCTGATCGACACCCTCAAGAAGTCCAAGCTCCATTTCGTGCACTGCTTCTTGCCCAAGGCAAACGGCTGGAGAGGGGACTCCAAGGGGCCGTACGCGCGCCGGGTGAGCACCAGCGAGCTGGACCTGCACGGGGAGCACTGTGAGGCCGGCCTGATGCAGCTGGAGGTGCCCCTGTTGAGGGCCCAGATCCGGGGCTCCCGCCTCCTTGATGCCCTTCGGATGTACCGCCAAGGTAGGTCCCTTTCCCCTCCACTCCTTGGGAGCTGTCAAGAGAGGGAGGGAGAGCGAGCATCTGTGTGTCTGGGACAAGGAACAGACTTGGCTCCCATGTTGTTGCCAGACAAGAGAACCTGCCATATTGGAATGGTGATTTGTTCACCTCAGTCAGGGGGTGTTTGCATCCTGAGTGAGTGATGGTGAGGTTAAAAAAACCCACCTTGAGTACCTGCTTTTGGGCTCCACATTTCAAGCAAAAATTGGAACAGATCCAGAGAAGAGCAGGGAGGAGAATCAGGGACTGGAAACTAAGGCCGCAGGAGAATGATGGAAAGAGCTGCGTGTATTTATGTTCAGAAAAAAGACGATTCTGAGGCAGGAGGGGAGACATCACACAGAAGAAAGCCAGGATCCGTTCTCTCTCGTTCCAAATTCAGGAGGCAGAAGAATGGGTTTAACTTAACACAAAGGCAGGTTCCACTTGCACACTAAAAAAAACTAGAGAATGAAAAGAGTTGGAAAGTAGAACCAAATATCCAGCAAGATAGTCCACTCCCTTTCACTGGATGTGTTCAGGAGGCTGTTGAGATCCTGTCACGGGGCCTGGAGGCTGGATGGCCCTGGATGGGCCATCTTCAACTGAATCCTGGGGGCCCTGGTTCCAGGGATCTTCTATCTTTGACCTTGGATGGGGTGGCACCTCAAGAGTGGCGTGCGACCTAGGGGTCTTCGTGGACTCAGCTCCTGCTTGATGAGCAGGTGGCAGCTGTGGCCAGGAGGGCCTTTGCACAGCTTCATCTGGGGCACCAGTTGCACCCTTTCCAAACTGGGGGGACCCTCAGACTCATGCCCTGGTCACCTCATGGCTCAACTATTGCAATGCCCTCTACATGGGGCTGCCCTTGAAGGCCACTCGGAAGCTTCAACTCGTCCAGGATGCGGTGGTGCGGGCAGGGATAGGCATGCCTTGCCATGCCCATACGACACCTCTGCTCCGTGAGCTGCACCGGTGGCCAGTTTGACTCGGGATGCGATTCACATGCTGGTTATGATATGTAAAGCCCTACCTGGGACAAGGCCCAGTTGTTTGAGAGAACACCTCTCTCCCATGGCGCGTACCCAGCGAATTCGAGCTGACAGGGTTGATGTGCTCCGGGTCCCTTTGATTAAGCAACCAGGAAGCGGCCCTTTTCTGTCGCTGGCCCTCTGAAATCAGGTTCCCCTCGAGATCCACGTGGCTCCCGCCCTGATGGTGTTCCAGAGAGCCTCAAAGGCCTTGAGCTGGGTGAGCTGGAGCCCCCTTCTCTGGATCTGAGATGGGGGGATGTTCTGGGGGTATCTGCTAGGTTTGCCATCTTGTTCTTTTCCTTCGCTCTCTTCTGTTCTAGTGCGGTTGTGTTCGTTGCTTCTTTTATATTGTTTTTAGGATGTCTGGTGTATTATGAGCCACCCAGAGTTGTTTGAATTCAGGCAGCATCCAGTCAAATAATGAGTGGAGGCCTGGGGTGGGTTCATCTGGATTTCTGCATTGAACTGGGGTTGGACCAGATGGCCTCAAGAGGCCCCCATCCAGTGCTCTGTTGAATGCTTTCCACCTTTAATGTTCAGGCAGCCTTTCCTATATGGTGGCCCTTCTTCCTAAGAAATCCTTTCCACTCTGGTTAGCAGAGTTCCTGCTGGTGGGGGCTGCTTTGGCGCTACCCCCCCCACCCCCCCATTGTTGCGTCGTCTTGGGATGTCCCACGGGGTGGTTTCACGGACCGAACAGTTTGTTTCAGGCACCATGATGGCATTGAGGATGAAGTCGAGAGTGCACAGAAATAAGCAATTAAGTTTTCCGCGGGTGTCGGAAGGCTTTTCGGCAGCCTCAGAAACGTTGGTGGAAGGTTAAGCTATGTGCGCACGCACCCACAGTGAATCTGATGCTGACTTTGTCACTCTGCTTCTTTTCCGCCCAAACCGGTGATGGTTTAAATCAGTGTTTCTCAACCTTGGCAGCTTTAAGACGTGGCTGGCTGGGGAATTCTGGGAGTTGGAGTCCACCCATCTGAAAGCTGCCAAGGTTGAGAAACACTGTTGTAAATACTTACTCCCCTCTGCCTCTTGTTCTCAGAAAGGATCCTCAAGTGAGCACACTCCTGCCACTGTCCTTTTGAAGAGCACACAGCGGAATTTGTGTTTGTTATTTCAAAGCCAAGTTGTTTGTGGCATGGAGCAAGTTCGACGTTGTTATGCGCGGCAGCCCGGATCAATGGCCCGGCAGGGGAGGGAGGAGATTCAGCTGCCTGGTCGATGTCGCTGATGATTAATTAAGACCTGAAGAATCAACACGGCTATCTTTGCCCATAAATTTAATTGCAATTTGAATACAGTCGATAGCAGAATCCATTCTCGTTCGTTCTGCCTGCAGCGGTAGAAGCGCAGGCTGCCAGAAGCCGAGGCAGAAGGACGTGGCGTAGATTCAAAATGCTGTCTGTGCGCCTCCGTTTTAGTTAAGCCATTCACTGAGCAGTTTTCGGTCCCACGTGGAGTTTTTGAAGGGCTTCGTCAAACGTCCCTTGGAGACGTAGGTTTTACTGAGGTTCCAGAGGCGCGGTACTTATCTTAAATCATTCCCGGAGGCAACAATGGTCTTTAAATACAGCACGGTTGCAAATTAAAACAAGCAAAAATAATATCAAAGTATTACGTGGTGGCTTGTAAAGGAATTGTTTAATAGGCCACCCTCAACCTCTCTAAGCTACCCGTTGGAGATGGTTTTGGCAGGAGTTCCCGTTCATAGCTTTCCTTCCCTCTTGTTTTTAATAAAAAAAGTATTTTGGGGTGAAATATAACCACCAAAATACAAATAAAAGAGGGAAAAATGATATCGCAGTGATAAGACAATCAAAAAAGGAAATGAATGCATAATTAGGGATTCAAGTGAATGAAAATAGAACATAAAGGGATCCATGGAAAATTAATCCAGGATGAGGACAGCCCTTTAACATGCTATTCAATCCTTCCTAATGTAATGTTTATCGTCGTTCAACTCTCAGATAACCAGATATCATCCCATCTTCTCTCCCAGAGCCTAACGGGGTCTTGGGTCCAGCATCTTTAGCAAGAAAGCCAAACCTTTAGGGGTTTACATTGCCAACGTATTTGGGATAGTTATACCCTTTGCACAGATCAAAGAAGGAAGCCGTGGGTCTAAGCTAGTGTTTCTCAATCTCAGCAACTTTAAGATGGGTGGACTTCAACTCCCAGAATTCCCCCATGCTGGCTGGGTGATTTCTGGGAGATAGATAGATAGATAGATAGATAGATAGATAGATAGATAGATAGATAGATAGAT